TGGCCTCCACCTAAGGCTGCTTTCAACACAAAGAAGCAAAGTCATGGTAGGCAAAGTCATGGGACCATCTAGGAAGGTCAAAAAAGGCCCAAATTCTGAAAGCAATGGTGGACATGGTAACCTTTTTCCCTAGGTTATCCCCACCCCCATCCATCCATGTTCTTCTGTTGTCTATGGACATCACAGATTATTGAGGAAGAGATGGCCTCCACCTGAGGTTTCTTGCAACACAAAGTCATTTGACCAACCAAGAGGTAAAGTCACGTGACTCCCTCCCTGGTCCTGGCACTACACATTTACACAAAGGAAGTACAACACAAATGTAGTCAATGGAGAACCATCAATTTTTATTTCTTACAAAAATGTTCATTGAACTTCAGAGATGCTACAAATTTTTTCTATCCCTTCATGTGGACATGCTCGCTGTGCTATACTTTTACAGTGGCAGTAGTACGGGTTGGTTGACTCTACCTTGTGGTCATGCTCGTTTAGGTCTGTGATCAACCAAGGTTGAGTATGGGGCAGATGTTCCTCTACAGGCCACGTAATACAGGGAGGACCAGCAAGGTCGAACTTCCCATAAGTCCCCCCCGTGGGCCAGGACCTAGGGAAGCAGGGTCTGTCGGCACAAACTGTACAGATGGAACCATTGTTTCCTTCTTCTGGCCACCTCTGGACATAGTAACTACATTTAACAAATTACCTATAAGGAAGAAAAGGGTGCAAGGGATGCTGAGGGGAATCCCAAGACTCTCTGGGGAACATTAACCCATCATTTATTTCCCTTGGCTAATGGTGTGCTCAGTTGAAAAGTTGCCCTACATATAAAGCAGATAAAATCCCGCCTTCAATAGCCATTCTGGCATACGCCTTTGCTAAAATGAGCACAAAGGACACAGGGGGCGGAGTTTTACAAATGGTGTTATTATTATGGGGTATGCCTCGGGTAATATATGTTTCAGTAGAGCACTGGAAAGAGAGAAAATGCTTAGACGCCAAGAATATAAAATTTCCTACGTTATGTAGTGCTGACTTTCTCCACAGCGCTTCTATCTATTCACATCAGGCCCCGCCCCTGAGGAGCTTGTGTTACATGCACTGTCTGGGTGAAAGGTAATTTAAGTGACCTTTTTTATGGACTGTGGGCAGAAACCAGAGAACCTGATACTAGAACAACAAAAGAACTTCATTCAGTGGACTCCAAGCTAGGGCCCCAAAGCTGCTTGTATCAAGAGACTATTGATATGTACAGACACAGGTTTCAAGAGACAACCCTCTGGACCCAATCGAGGCCCCAGACGTTCCCGTGCACACACCCTGGGCTGGGATAGTGTACGATATGGATTTCTTCATTCAAAACAAAACTCCGCCTTCATCGTCTGTGCTTCCTGAGGTGAAGCAGTAGGGACGGTTTCCACGTATAACACGCCCCGCACTTCGTACACGAATAAGGCTTCTCCCCCGTGTGCAGCCTGTGGTGCCGAACGAGGTTGGACCGCTTGGAAAAACACTTCCCGCACTCGGAGCACGTATAGGGCTTCTCCCCCGTGTGAATCCGCTGATGGGTCACCAGGTGGGACTTGACGTTGAAGCACTTTCCGCAGTAGGAACAGGAAAAGGGCTTTTCACCGGTGTGGATCCTCTCGTGGATGATCAGATGGGAGTTCTGCAGAAAACATTTCCCGCACTGGGAACAAGAATACAGCTTCTTGGCTTGATACCTGTTCCGGCGTTCCACGAGTCTTCTACGCTGGGTGAAATGATCGCTGACCCCGGAATAGAGGAACATGTCTCCTCCGTTGTGGGCTGTATGATGGGTGACGGGGTGCGGCAAATCCGGAAGGTACCCCACATGTGACGGGAGACTAGATGATAGGTATACGCTATGAGGTATGGGAAGAGGATTTGGAATGAAGGGGTTATCCCCCGAAGAATCGGACGCGATGTCATCGTCTTCTATTGCAGCGTATGGAGAAGAGAGGGGGTATTTCTGGGGGTTACTTGTTTTGTATCGTCCATCTGAAGGAAAGAAGGGTGGGGGAGGGGAAATAAGAGTAAATCAGCTATTAAGAACCTTCAACGTTACAAAAATAACTGTGATAAAAAAATATGCCGAGTCTGCTAATTAAAGGGTCAGTCCACCCAAACTGGTATACCAGTGTTTGTTAGATGCTAGAGGGTTAAATCGACCAACAGTATCTTTAAGCTGAGATCCCGGGTCTGTACACCTGCTGTGCCCATTATGAGGCAGAGGAGGGGGGAGAAGAAGAGAGTGAAGCCCCCTGTACTGAGATGTATGAGAGACCCCAGAGAGTGTGTGTGGGGGGAGACTGGTCACGTCTCTTGGCTGGTAACACACAATGACATGATGTGAGGAGGAGAGCCGGAGTCTATTAGAGGCTGATAGCTCCTGACTCCCCCCACTAGACACATTCCGTCCCCCCATTACTGTCTACTGACAGAGGAGGGGGGAGAAGAAGAGATTGTTGTAGTGACTGAACAAGGAGAATCTGGGACTCTTTTCTGGATTTAGTGTTTATTCCTCACCTGGGCTGATCTCTGGAGGAACATCATCCTCCTTACACGGGTCATCACCCCTCACATACGGTTCTTCTTCATAAATATCTTCAACTTTAATCACAATCAGGTTTTTACCCTAGGTAAGATAATCAACACTGAAATAAAACATTTTTTTTTTCAAATTGTCCAGTAGCTGGACTGGGACAAAGGAAGTTATTAACCATTCGTTTACAAGATCATAACAACTTCACAATGCATGAGGCACTAAAGAGCAGATATGGTCCTACATATAGCAGCCAACATACCTGATAAGGGTAACCTAAATTGTGGCAAACATCTTCAGAATCCTTTGGTATGCTGCCATCTTTCCCCAATGAATCCCGGGAATACAGAGGACGGGCCTGAGGGATCTCCTGATGTTCCTGTGTGGAGTCCCGGGAATACAGAGAACGGGTCTGAGGGATCTCCTGATGTTCCTGTGTGGAATCCCGGGAATACAGAGGACGGGCCTGAGGGATCTCCTGATGTTCCTGTGTGGAATCCCGGGAATACAGAGGACGGGTCTGAGGGATCTCATGATGTTCCTGTGTGGAATCCCGGGAATACAGAGGACGGGCCTGAGGGATCTCCTGATGTTCCTGTGTGGAATCCCGGGAATACAGAGGACGGGCCTGAGGGATCTCATGATGTTCCTGTGTGGAATCCCGGGAATACAGAGGACGGGGACATCTCTCTGGGGTATTTCTGTTCCTGGACCCATCTGTAGGAAACACACACACTGACTGAATACATTGTTTCTATGTCTTTATATCAGAGGATGTGTGTATCTAGGGGGATCCTCAATACTCAAGAAATGAAAGTCTCCTCTTACCCGGTGATGTGAGGGGCGGCTGGTTATCCATCATGACGTCCTTGTAGAGATCCCGGTGTCCTTCTAGATACTCCCACTCCTCCATGGAGAAATAGACGGTGACATCCTGACACCTTATAGGAACCTGACACACACAATGATACAGTCACCATCCAGACACATCCCTTGTCTGTTCCTGGATCATGTCCCAGAATTCCCGGCACCGCTCACCTCTCCCGTCAGCAACTCAATCATCTTTTGGGTGACTTCTAGGATCTTTGTGTCATTGTTTCTTTCAGGTTTCAGTTGGGGAGGTGGAGGTTTTATGATTGGATTTCGGCTCTTGCTCCATCCCTCTGACACAGTGTTCTTACTAGAATCCTTCACAGGACCATAATTCTAAAAAAATAACATATATTAATGAATATCATACAGATATATGACTCATAGTCCTCTAATGCGATCCATGGAAATTAAGTACTAGCAATGTCACACCGACAGTCCCAGAATCCTCCTCACCTCTCCGGTCAGGTCTGTGTATTATTAATAGAGATCAGAGTGATGTCATGTGACCTCCAAGAATCCTCCTCACCTCTCCGGTCAGGTCTGTGTATTATTAATAGAGATCAGAGTGATGTCATGTGACCTCCCAGAATCCTCCTCACCTCTCCGGTCAGCAGGTAGATGATCTCCAGGGTGAGGTTTAATATCCTCTCAGTCATGTGACCGCGCTCCTTCTTCATCCTCATTAATGAGACAGTGAATGAACTCTGCTCCTTCTGGAGAGGATGGACCATGATGAGATCTCTTCTTTGGTACCTTGGTCCTGAAATGTTTTGTACTACGAGACCTTCTTATGACTCTCAAATATAAAAGGAGATCCTCTTCTTGTCACACTGCAAAAAAATGAAAACTTACATGAAAAAGTGAACCCAGAATAAATTAAAAAAAAATGTTTGTAGGATGGAAGATGAAGGAAGCTAATCTAAGAGAGCAGCAGATGAAAGAAGATGGAAGAAAAAAAAGAAGCAAGATGTAAGAAAAAGGAAGACGCGAGAAGATAAATGAAGAAAGAAGAAGATAAAAAGGCAGAAGAAGGAAAATTAAGGAAGATGGAAGAAGGAGGAGGATGGAAGATGAAGGAGACCAAAGCTGAAAGAAGAAAAGGAAGAAGAAGCAAGATGGAAGAGAAGGGAGATGGAAGAGAAGGAAGATGGAAGAGAAGGAAGATGGAAGAAAACGTTAGTGAAAGGAAGACAGGTGATGAAGGAAGATGAAGGAATAAAAAAAAGAAGGAAGAGTTTAGAAGAAGGAAGATGGGAGAAGATGAATGAAGACAGATGATTATGGAAAACAGATGAAGATGGAAGAAGAAAGAAGGCAGGAGAAGAAGTGAATGAAGGAGAACAGGAAAGCGGAAGACAGAAGATGAAAGCAGAAAAAGTAAGGAACAAGAAGAAGAAAGGCGGAAGAAAAGGTTACAGGAAGGAAGGTGAAAGAAGGAGTTAAAAGAAAGAAGACGGAAGAGGAAGTAGGTCGCAAGCTGGAGGAAGTCAGATGAAGGAAGAAGTGAGATGAAGGAAGGCCGAAAGAAGACATTAGATGAAGGAAGGCCGGAAGAAGACATTAGATGAAGGAAGACGGAAGAAGTGAGATGAAGGAAGACGGAATAAGAAGTGAGATGAAGGAAGACGGAAGAAGTGAGATGAAGGAAGACGGAAGAAGTGAGATGAAGGAAGACGGAAGAAGTGAGATGAAGGAAGACGGAAGAAGTGAGATGAAGGAAGACGGAAGAAGTGAGATGAAGGAAGACGGAAGAAGTGAGATGAAGGAAGACGGAAGAAGTGAGATGAAGGAAGACGGAAGAAGTGAGATGAAGGAAGACGGAAGAAGTGAGATGAAGGAAGACGGAAGAAACGAGATGAAGGAAGATGGAAGAAGTGAGATGAAGGAAGATGGAAGAAGTGAGATGAAGGAAGATGGAATAAGAAGTGAGAGGAAGGAAGAAAGAAGAAGTGAGATGAAGGAAGACGGAAGAAATGAGATGAAGGAAGACGGAAGAAGTGAGATGAAGGAAGACGGAAGAAGTGAGATGAAGGAAGACGGAAGAAACGAGATTAAGGAAGACGGAAGAAACGAGATGAAGGAAGACGGAAGAAACAAGATGAAGGAAGACGGAAGTGAGATGAAGGAAGACGGAAGAAACGAGATGAAGGAAGATGGAAGAAGTGAGATGAAGGAAGATGGAATAAGAAGTGAGATGAAGGAAGACAGAAGAAGTGAGATGAAGGAAGACGGAATAAGAAGTGAGATGAAGGAAGACGGAAGAAGTGAGATGAAGGAAGACGGAAGAAGTGAGATGAAGGAAGAAGGAAGAAACGAGATGAAGGAAGACGGAAGAAGTGAGATGAAGGAAGACGGAACAAGTGAGATGAAGGAAGACTGAAGAAGTGAGATGAAGGAAGACGGAATAAGAAGTGAAATAATGGAAGTGGACAGAACATGAAAGAAGTAAAAAGATAAATTAAGACAAGAAAAGAAGGACGAAGGAAAATGAAGAAAAACATGACATAAAAGAAGATAAAAGAAGGCACTAGAAGAAGGAAGGAGAAAGTAGACAGAAGAAGGAATAACAACATTAATAATGATAAGAACATGACATGTTCCGCCTGCAATGACTTACACCAGCCAGGATCTGTGCAAAGCGCCGTCACCCCCAACTGCACATATGGGACCCACCGATCGGCACTGATCTCCAGAACTTATCTGTGATGTTGGAAAGTTGATCCGGCCGCATGGGAGGACATAAGACCGTCACCTGCGCACCTAGAATGAAAAGAGCGTAATTACTCTGCGGGGGAGGGGTGGATACAGCTCAAGTACATGACACTTGCCTGATCTGTTGGTTGTATCAAATCATAAAAGTAACAATAAAAATGTATTAACATTATAGTGTATTAATACAATAGTATAAGGGAGGGTAAGACTAAAAACAGCAACAATAATAATAACAATAACAGAACTCTACCACATAGTATCCAATGCAGACCCTCAGCCCTGAGCAGCTGGCTGTCTCCTCTTTATCATCAGTCTCTCCAAAACCGGAAACGCTCCCTCACTTCCGCCCAATGGCTCCACTGTGTGCGTTCCACGACCGTTCAGCCGCTTCCTGGTTGCCATAGAGCCAGTGTACCAGGCGGAGACTCTAGAGCGTGAACCGTGCCGAGGAAACCACTCTATTCCGGCGGCCATTTTTTCGTAGTGCAAGGATTTTTTTTCCTTTGCCATGCAATAAACATTGACAGCCAAGAGATTTTGTGCTTAATATTAGAGGGTAAATGCTGTTTCTTACACTCGTAAGAAGTTGAATAAGTGTAGTTGCTCTGTGTAGAGAATGCTTGTCTTCAGTGAAAGAGGATATCCGCCATTTTCTTGTAGCCCAAGTATAAAAACATTCAGCAAGATCCCAGAAGTCTCATGTTATTCCGCAGTCTTTTGTAGTTGGGGTCAGGCAGCTCAGTGAAGTTAATTATAACTCTTTCTTGCTATGTTTGCTGATTGCAGTTGGTGCGCAAAGCCTCCTGGAACGTGTGTGCGTAAAAATGTGTTTTCAGACGTACTTTTTCGTCTAAAAGGCACAATTTCTCTTTAATGGAACAGAAAAAACAAAATTTGTGTGGCAAAGAATGCGGTAGACAAGACTTGTAATATTAAAAAAACATTAAGGCACCGCGATACAGTGCGTTAGTGCAACGGGCCTAGCCGAAAGCGATTCCACGCATTTTGCCTAAGGTGCAGGATGGGAACAGGTCTTGCAGCTAATTATGATATTTAATGTGTCTCCTGTATGTTCAGATCACTTCCCTGTATGTTATCTTAGAAATAATACAAGCACGTCCTGTATAAACATCCACCACTGCGGACAACATAAGAAGCTGGACATGTTTCAAAGGACACAAGGACGCCATGAGGGAGAACCAGCCACTCATCACATCAACGGGTAAGAGGGGCCTTCATTTCTTGTAAAGGAGAGAAGAGTATTGAGGATCCACCATTGTCTGTGGGTATTTGTGCCCGTTCAGCCAAAAGGGCAGATCCTGATGTTGGACGAGAAGATCTGGCTCACAATTGACATTCCAGATCACTCCAAATATAGACAGTAGGATTGAGGTCAGGGCTTTGTGCAGGCCACTGAAGTTGCTCCGCACCCAACTGGTCAAACCATGGGGCTGGCTTTGTGCACATGCTGAAACAGAAAAGGGCCTTCACCAAACTGTTACCAAAAGGTTGGAAGCTAAATGTCTTTGTATTCTGTAGCATAACTGAACCCTTTACTGAAAACACCTGAACTCCGTAATTTGGGAGGTTGTCTATGTGGTTATGGCCATATAATGTATAAATACATCAAAACAATGTATTCAGTCAGTGTGTGTGTGTTTCCTACAGATGGATCCAGTAACAGAAATACCCCAGAGAGATGTCCCTGTCCTCTGTATTCCTGGGATTCCATAGAGGAACATCACGAGACTCCTCAGGCCTGTCCTCTGTATTCCCGGGATTCCAAACAGGAACATCAGGAGATCCCTCAGACCCGTCCTCTGTATTCCCGGGATTCCACACAGGAAAATCATGAGATCCCTCAGGCCCATCCTTTGCATCCCAGGGATTCCATGGAGGAACATCATAGGAATCCTCAACATGATAAGGTAAGGTGTAATTGATGATTTAGGAAACACCAGGCTGTATCATTAAATTATATTTTAATCTTGCCTCTTAAATAAGACAGAATTAAAAATAAATTTAGTAAAAAGCACTCTGTGTGTTATCCAGGGTGACGGCCTGATTGTTGTGAAGGTTCAAGTAAAGGAGGAAGCAGAAGATCCATCTGTGAGGGACGATGAGCCGTGTAAGGAGGAGGAAATCCCATCGGAGATTGACCAAGGTGAGAAAGAAACATTTCAGAAAAGAGTCCCAGATTCTCCTTGTTCAGTCACTACAACAGTTTCTTCTTCTCCCCCCTCCTCTGTCAGTAGACAGTAATGGGGGGACAGAATGTGTTTAGTGGGGGGTGTCAGGAGCCATCAGCCTCTATTAGACTCCGGCTCTCCTCCTCACATCATGCCATTGTGTGTTACCAGCCAAGAGATGAGACCAGTCTCCCCCCCCCCCACACCCTCTCTGGGGTCTCTCATACATCTCAGTACAGGGGGCATCAATCTCGTATTCTCCCCCTCCTCTGTCAGTAGACCTAATAGACTTCCCAGGTTTTCATTTTGAAGAATTTTCTTTCATATAAGCCCAAACATTCATCCGTTTCCTGTTTTTCTCCAGATGGTCGATACATGAGGAGCAGCCTCGAGAAATGTCCCGTCGTGGCTTCAGAAGCTAAGGTAGAAGACAATGACCTAGCAGAAGAGTCTCGAGAAGAAAATCCTGTCACCCCAAATCTCCATCTATGTCCCAGTGCAGATCTATCATCCGATCCCTCTACGCACGGAGGAAGTCTTCCTCAATCCTTTCCTCTCCATCCTCCGAGAAGCGAAACGCTTCCACGTTCTGAAAACGAACATTTGGTTGACAAAGCTGGACTCATCAAAGGAACTCACGCAGGGTTGAAGCCGTATTCATGTTCCGAATGCGGAAAGTCGTTCGCGTACGCGTCCCGTCTCAACACGCATAGACAGGCTCACATAGACAAAAAGCCGTATTCATGCTCCAGTGACCCCGACAGGGACAGGGCGGATGGAAAGATTTATCCATGTCCCCAGTGCGGGAAAAGGTTCAGATGGAAATCGTGTCTCTCTAGGCACAAATGGTTCCACCGAGACGAGGCCCCGTTCTCGTGCTCCCAGTGCGGCAAGCCTTTTAAGCTGAAGTCCAATCTCGTTCGGCATCAGAGAACCCACACGTTGGAGAAGGCGTTCTCTTGTTCCGAATGCGGGAAGTGTTTCGCGAAGAAGTCCTACCTTGATGAGCATCGGAAAAGGCACACCAGCGAGGAGGCATTTACGTGTTCGGAATGCGGCAGGTCCTTCACGTTGAAGTCGTACCTAGTCAAGCATCGGAAAACACACCTGGGCCAGAAGCCGTACTCATGTTCGGAATGCGGGCGGTGTTTTGCTGTTAAAGCGTGTCTGGTTGATCACTTTAGGAGCCACACGGGCGAAGGTCCCTTTTCCTGCCCAGAGTGCGGAAAGTGTTTTACGTACAAAGCAACTCTAGCTGACCATCAAAGGCTCCACACTGGTGAGAACCTCTATTCGTGTTCCGAGTGCGACAAACGCTTTACCCAAAGGAGACTTCTGGAAAAGCACCAAAGAGTTCACACGGGGGAGAAGCCTTATACGTGTTCCCAGTGCGGAAGATGTTTCACACAGAAATCGGTCCTTGGCAGGCATGAAAAGCGCCACAGGAGCAAGGTCGAGAGCAATCCAACCTGAAAGGCTTACCGTGCATGTTTACTGTTCAATGATGTCCATCACCCTACTGAAGAGAACCCCTCACCCAATCCCAGCACAGCTGTAATAAGCCAAGCTTGGCCAATAGAGGGTGCATGCATGAAGAAAGCAGATAGGCCGGTGACACTGATAGCTCAGCCTGGCTTGACCACTTATTGAGATGGAGAGGACATATTTGCAATGGGGTTGCAGATTGCAATAAAGCCTCGGTGGGACATAAAATCAGCCCTTCTTCTTTGGGTTTGGTTGGCGTTGCCTATTATTGGTGCCTGTCCCATGGAAATTCATCAGACGCAGTTCAATAGCCCATTTGTACAAATGTAGGTTGTCTCCTATCCCCAAATTTATAGGCCCACCTTGTCCCACCTTCAATGAGGCCCTGCATACTTTTCTGTGAGGCCATGTTTTCAGAGTAGAGTCCATTCCTCAAGAGGAAACCTAACCATCGGAGGAGATGGAGGGATTATGGCTAGAAGATGGAGACGGTGTTGATGGCCAACGGTGAGCTTGCAAAAAAGTCCCACTGACGTGTTGAGAGACCCTAGGTACAAAATATACCGATATACACACTCTTTAAAGATGAACTGTAACCTTACGTGAGAACATACACACCTTAAGTCAATGATGTGGGCCAATGTTTAAAAAACTGGTTTCTGTATATAGCTTGTGATATGTATATACACTGATCAGCCATAACATTATGACCACTGAGAGGTGAAGTGAATTGCAGTGCAATGTGATGCTTTGGGCAATGTCCTGCTGGGAAACCTCGGGTCCTGCCATTATTGTGCATGTTACTTTGACACGAACCACCGACCTAAACATTGTTGCTGACCAAGTACACCCCTTCATGGGAACGGTATTCCCTGATGGCAGTGTCCTCTTTCAACAGGATAATGGGCCCTGCCACACTGCAACAATGGTTTGAGGAACACAATAACGAGTTTGAGGTGTTGACTTGGCCTCCAAATTCTCCAGATCTCAGTCC